GAAGGAAGGAAGGAAGGAAGGAAGGAAGGAAGGAAGGAAGGAAGGAAGGAAGGAAGGAGAGGGGTGAAATGGAAGATTTTGAATACATTGATGTCATAAAGAAGCCGGAAGATGAAAGAGAATATAAAGATTCGAAGGAGTGGGCGAGGGTTGCTAAACAACAAGAAGGGGATCTTTCAGGGGTATGTTTGCATCCTAAACTTTTTAAAATTCCAATCTTACAAATTATCACTTGATTTTGGTTAAGCTTTACAACCCCGTAAACTCTGTCAAATCCACAAAGTAATCTCAGCAATCTGATTCCACTAACTTAAGGATTCCAGCAAGTCAATAAGTCCAATGAGAAAACCAACTGAAGTAAACCGAATCGCCATTATTTCGTAAACTAACATCCTCGCTGGGCCAGGATTGAGTATAACTTGTTGCGCCAGCGTCACTGTCTTTAAATGTATTGCCTTTATATTTGCAACAACACAGTCTGCTACTTCTTGGTATGAGAAATTCTTCGCCCTGAGTACCTGAAAGGTGTTTTGCCCCGTCAAAATCTATAATAAAGAGAATACAGGTCATATTTAACAAAGACGACAGCTGTTCGTGGTCCAGTGCCGTAGAGAGACAGCTAACACGAGTTGAGGCTGTGGCAGCTTGTCTCTAGGGATGTAACACCCTGCCTCCCCCCAACCTCTATCCCCCTCCCTCCAGCCTCCCTTCAGCCTCCCTTCAACCTCGAGACAAGGTCAACAACCCTCTAACCTCTAAATCTAGGCATATATAGTAAATATACCAGAGACACCAGACTTGGATAAAAAACCACCCCGTCTCAGATCTTAGATTTATACTGCAGGCATCCTTAATCTTTATTCCTTTTTGATTATCATTCTTAATATCTTCTTTCTTAATATCTTCTTTCTTAATATCTTCATTCTTAATATCTACATTCTTAATATCTTCGTTCTTAATATCTTCTTTCTTAATATCTTCTTTCTTGATATCTTCTTTCTTAATATCTTCATTCTTAATATCTTCTTTCTTAATATCTTCTTTCTTAAAATCTTCTTTCTTAATATCTTCATTCTTAATATCTTCTTTCTTAATATCTACATTCTTAATATCTACATTCTTATATCTTCTTTCTTAATATCTTCATTCTTAATATCTTCTTTCTTAATATCTTCTTTCTTAAGATCTTCATTCTTAATATCTTCTTTCTTAATATCTTCTTTCTTAAAATCTTCTTCTTAATACCTTCTTTCTTAATATCTTCATTCTTAATATCTTCATTCTTAATATCTTCATTCTTAATATCTTCATTCTTAATATCTTCATTCTTAATATCTTCTTTCTTGATATCTTCTTTCTTAAAATCTTCTTCTTAAAATCTTCTTCTTAATATCTCCTTTCTTAATATCTTCATTCTTAATATCTTCTTTCTTAATATCTTCATTCTTAATATCTTCTTTCTTAATATCTTCATTCTTAATATCTACATTCTTAATATCTACCTTCTTAATATCTACATTCTTAATATCTACATTCTTAATATCTACATTCTTAATATCTACATTCTTAATATCTTTCTTCTTAATATCTACATTCTTAATATCTTCCTGCTCTATCATCCACAAATGTTTCGTTCAGTGTAAATATGGATTAAATTTCAATTTCTTGCTTCCACGGTTTTTTTATTTGAGGGTTTTTTATTATCTGAACTTGAAAGCCTTATTTTGTTTTCTTTTTAACTCTTTTTTCAAAAATAAAGTAAAGAAACCCATTTAGCTAAAAATTAACCTTTTGAGAGACTTGTTATACCTTCTCTAAATATTTAGGTAAGTGAAAATATTGAGATCTCTGGAAATTTTATATCAAGAAGTTATTTAGAAGTGTTTATTTGTGTAAATACCACTTCTCTATTTAGATATAATTGCTCAATACTGGATGGAGGAGGGGGGGTCGTCATATATTGAAAATAAATAATTTAGTCTTCTGGGTTAGTTCTGAACTTTAGCAATATCTTCCAATTAAAAATAAATGTCAACTTAAAGGGTTTTGACACACAACAAAACAAAGTAATTACAACTTCAGAGCATTAATGGGACTAAAAGCGTAATATTAAGGGACCCGGTCCATGCAAAGTCCGATGTCCAATTTACAACGGTACCCTTGAAAACTTAATCTGATCAAAAATGTGGAAGATTACGTCGATTTTCTGACTCGAAAACTGTTCATTTCTGTGAATTTCTCCAATGATTCTTATTCTCAAGAAATGCGCATTTGCTGAGAACCCACGAATGAAAATAAACAGTTTAAATAAACAAAAACATGCAAATCTACTTCATACTTGATCAGGGTATCGTGTTAAATTAGACATTGCCATCTTTGCCTGGAATGGGAGAGTTACTTCAAATTTTGCTTACAGTCCCTTTAAATAGATTTTGCTTACAGTCCCTTTAAATAGATTTTGCTTACAGTCCCTTTAAATAGATTTTGCTTACAGTCCCTATATATATATATATTATATATATATACAACTTTTTACAGCGAAGAACAACCTTTTTTAAATTTTCGTTTGATTTTCATCAAATAGACTTTATACCTAGATAAATTAATAAATTAATTCATCTAGGACTTTAAATAATCTTCGGATTGACATAAAAAAGTAACCATTAAATAATTTCATTTTTCATCATTATTTTATTTTTATCAAATTATTTCATTTTATCATAATTTAACTTTTATCGAATTATGTCATTTTCATCCTAATTTTGCTTTTACTTTTCAGAATTCTTTAACATTTTAAAGATTCAATGAAAAAAAAGTGAATTTCCCTACAGTGAAACCCTTAATAACGAATACATCGGAAGAATTTATCAAATGTCGTCTTGACAATTTTTCAATGAGTTTTATACTATATTACGTAAATTTCAGTATTTGCGAAAATAAATAAATAGCCATAAATATGCGGGAACAGTTTTAAAGAGTTCCATATAATCATTTAAATAAAAAACTAAAGATCTGCAACATTCCATTATCAAAAAGTGAAGAATACGACATTTGATGAATTCTTTCGATGTATTCGTTATTAAGGGTTTCACTGTATAGGAAGGAGGAAAATCTAATCGAAAATCTTACCCCTTGATTTATTTTTCGTTGGAATTGATATTTAGTTTAAAGGTTGCAATGAATATGATATGTATTTAGATAATTGTATACTGTAGTGTAAATGTCAACACATAAACTTATCTCATAGATAATTGTATACTGTAGATGTCAATACATAAACTTATCTCAGTATATAGATAATTGTATACTGTAGATGTCAATACATAAATTTATCTCTGTATATAGATGATTGTATACTTTAGATTTCAATACATAAACTTATCTCTTTCTCCTATGTAAGGCGCACGACGGGCGACGGGCGACATTATTTTAGAATGAAAACCTAGAATTTGTTTGACAAAGAAATTGAGTCTTTTGCACAAAATCAAATTTTATACATGATGCTATGTTGGCCTTTCATATTTCAAACTTATATTATTTGATCTAACAGATTTAATTGTTTGAAATATCAAGGGTCTACGACACCTGGTTGCAAAGATAAAAGGATTAGAAAATCTGAGTTTGTGTCGCAATTTTTTACCTTAAAATTTACCCCCCCCCCCTCTCCACCCTAGTTGCGCTATGGAAGAAAAAGACCATTTATAAACAAAGAATTCTCTTGGTTTCTCTTCACCAAGGAACAAAGGGGAAGTATAATGTTTAATTAGAACTCTTGGTTCGAGTTTTCACGAGCTCTTTATTTTCTCTTTTCATTAATAATAGTTGGGCCAGGGGGGGAGGGGTTTAAACTATACCTGGATATCTTGGTTTCTTGGCCGGGGGGTTTAAACTATACCTGGATATCTTGGTTTCTTGGCCGGGGGGTTTACACTATACCTGGATATCTTGGTTTCTCTATTTATAAAGCAACATCTGGTATGTCCGATTTACAACTGTACCCTTAACATCTTTGTCTGATTGCATGTTTTCCACGTTGTTTTAGAAAAAGTTATATTTGCTGATTTCTGCTTTCAGAGACAATTTGATTAAATTTTTAGAATTTAATTTCTTCTTAACTTTCTCTTACCTCAAACCTTCTACCAAAACTGAAACATTTTTCTAAACTTCCAACCTTCTCCTAAATCTCAAATAATATTTTCGACTTCAAACCTTATCCTTCTCCTAAGACTAAAACGTTCTCCTCAACTTTCAACCTTTTCTTTTCCCTTCTCCTAAGACTGAAACGTTCTCCGTAACTTTAAACCTTCTCTTTCCCTTCTCCTACTTTAAAGTTCTCCTTAACTTTAAACATTCTTTTTCCCTTTTCCTAAGCCTTGAACGTTTTCCTTAACTTTAAACCTTCTCTTTCCCTTCTTCTAAGCCTTGATCGTTTTCCTTAACTTTAAACCTTCTCTTTCACTTCTTCTAAGCCTTGATCGTTTTCCTTAACTTTAAACCTTATCTTTCCCTTCTCCTAAGTCTTGAACGTTCTCCTTAACTTTAAACATTCTTTTTCCCTTCTCCTAAGTCTTGAACGTTCTCCTTAACTTTAAACCTTCTCTTTCACTTCTTCTAAGCCTTGATCGTTTTCCTTAACTTTAAACCTCCTCTTTCCCTTCTCCTAAGCCTTGAACGTTCTCCCTAACTTTAAACATTCGTTTTCCCTTCTCCCAAACCTTGAACGTTCTCCTTAACTTTAAACATTCTTTTTCCCTTCTCCTAAGCCTTAAACGTCCTTTTAAACTTCGAAAATTCTTTTTAATCTTAAAGGTTATCCTAGATTTTAAACATTATCCTAACCTGCAACTCTTCTCCTAAACGTCCCAAATAATAAAAGTATTGTATGAAGGAAGATTGAAAGGTTCTCTTCATGAAAAAAAAGTTTCCTTAAGTTTGTTTACTGACTTGTCTATAATTAGAAATAGCCTGGACTTTCCAGTTCCAGTTTCTTTAAATATTTATTTTATTCACAATATTTTCCAAAACAGTATATCGGTGAAACCAAGTATCGTCTTCCTTTTTGCTAAACAAAATAATCCTAGCATTAGTTTATTGTATTTTGTTTACATGATTAATATATTATCCTGTACAAGGATGTAAGGCAAGGAAAGTCATTTCAGAAGTGTACACATCTTAAGTACTGCAGTGTACTGTCTCTGGGCGCTAATGTAAACACAAGACGGATGTCGAAGCCTGACATGGGATCCATCATTCACATAAAAAAATCAATGAAATATTCTGGTCATAGGAAATTATTATGTGAATTATCAAAATTATCAAAATTTAATGCTTTTAACCTCCTCGGATACTAAACGAACACTGATGCATCTATTATTGTTTACAAATTCCGCCCAAAGAGAACTGGTTTCAATATGTACACAGAGTATACAAGACCGCAATTGACTTTCCTTGCCTTACATTCTTGATCCTGTATGTATGGTTTCTATGTTCTATTTGTATGTGAAATACATTTAAAAAAGAAAAGAAAGAATCACGTGTTCCAGAAATCGTAATTGAGGGTAATGATTTTGCATTTATGAAATCATTGATAACAAAATGTAAATATTACCCCCCTCCCCCCCCCCACTATTTGTTTTTAAACAAGGAATACCATAGTGTCAACAGATTTTCTTATTTTATTAGAACTCTGTACAGTTTATATTAATGATAATGCACGAATCGTGGAAGAAAATTTTGTTCAATTACTTTGTACTTTCTCTATTGATAAAAGTTGATGAAAGATGGTCCACAATTGGTTTATAGAGCCATGGGAGGGGGGGGGCGGGACGAAATCAGATCCCCCTCCCCTAGTTGGGCCACTGCCTTTCAGCACCTCATCACCCCTCGGTACCTTTATATTGAACATGTTTTCTAGTTTTTGTGTTCAAATAATGTTTAATAAAACTGTATCCAACCTTTTATTAGTATTTATTGCAGACCAAAACTATATATTTATTAGGAAGACCATTAAGACTTTTTGTACATAAAACTAAGCAATCCAAGTTTTTCTGTCCTAAAGAACCGGTATTTTTGACGACAAAAAGGCGTTAATTTCTTTTCATGGGCTTTTTCTATCAACAGCGGATTTATTAGGAGGAATTGGAATGTGAATAGTAGGGTAGGTCCCAATTAACATGAGACCGTTCCAAAACATTTACACCAGACCATTACAAAACATTCTTTATAACGTTGTGACATTTTTAATATATAACCAAATCCTTAGCCTTAACAAAGCCATTACTAATATTCTTAGCTTGGTTAAAAAACCTACAGTGATAACCCTGGAATAGGTAGTCGACTTTTAAACGGAAGTCATGACTTTAAATAGTCTAATTAACATGAGGCAATTGTACAGTATAAACAGACCCGTTTCACTTAATAAGTGGCCTAATAACTTACTAGTAAAGCTATTTGCTCTGTAACAACATCAAATGCACTTCCGTATTGCTTTAATGTCGTTTTCCTATTCCACAGTTTTCTGGTTATCACTGTTGCACTGTCTGTCTATTTGTTTGTATGTCCGGTCAACTCACGAACCCCTGGACAGATTTGCATCATATTTTTATTTAGGAACTCGGTA